CTGGAAGGCCCTCGACGCTGATTCCTCCTTCCTTCCTTAACAAGTCTGTCATTTCCTTCGATTTTATCAAAATTTCCTTCACACTCGTTCGTTTGTTTTTCCTATTCTTCTTCCCCTTTCTCTTTCTATTCTTCTTACCTTTTCCTTTCCCTTTCTCTTTATTTTTCTTCCCCTTCAGCTTCATCAAGATCTTACTGATTTTCTTCCAAATCTTCTTGTTCTTGATCATTTTGCGGAGGTCGTCGAAGCGGAGGTCGAAGGGACTTCCCGTGAGCTCGACCTCCGCCTTGAGCAGGAGTTTGATCAGCTTCTTGTTCGTCGTGAGCATCAGCCACAGCTCCAACCCCTGCGGCTTGTCCATTCGCCTCTGCCACCCGTTGCTCACCCTCTTGGGGACGAGTTCCTGGCGAATCTCCTTCCAGAGTTTCTTGTTATTCACCATTTTCCGGAGTTTGGACAGTCTGATGTCGGCAGTGAGGTCCCTCCACGACACCCCCGCTTCTTTCAAGAGCTTTTGGACTTTACTGTTGTTTCTGATCAGGCGCAGGAGGTCCTCGCCCTTCGGTTTCTTGATCTTCTCCAGGTCGTCGATTTCGCTTCGGGATTTCTTGTTCTTCCTTCGGTTTTTCTTGTTTTTGTTCTTGTTCTTCCCTTTACCCTTTCCTTTCTTGTTTCCCTTGGCTCCTTTCGCCTTCCCGTCCTTTCCGGCTCCTTTCTTCCTCCCGTCCTTGTCCTTCCTCCTTTTCTTCCTGTTCCTCATCTTCTTGCGCCTCTCCTTTCTCTTCTCCCTCCTCTCTTCCTTCCTCTTGGTCTTCCCCATGAGCGGCTTCTTGCCCATCCTGGCGGTGGCGTCGTCGAAATCCACGAAGGCCGCGGGGATGGGTCCCACGGCCCCCTCAGGACACTCCTCGTAGTACTGGTATTCCCCGTCCGCGAAGGTGTAGCACGGCGACCCCGCGAAGTCCTCGTACACGTAGTACTCTTCGGGTAAGTAGGCGTAGTACAGGAGGTCGTCGGGACACTCGTCGTACACCACAGGCTCCTCGTCCATGATAACGACGCACCGACGCCCTTCGAACTTGTCCGGGTCGTAGTCGTAGCCGGAGTCGTAGTAGTCGTAGTAGTCACCCTCGCTCCCGTTTTCGTCATAGTAGTAATCACCATAGTAGTCACTATCGCTGCTGTTCCCATCGCTCTCGTAATAGTCCTCATAGTAGTCGTAGTAGGTGTCTCCCTCGCCGTCCTCGTAGTAGTTGTAGTAGCTATCTCCCTCACCGTCCTCGTAGTCATAGTAATCATAGTAATCCTCATTCTCCAACTGGTCGCCGTACAGGTCATAATATTCGTCCACAGTAATGGCGTAATCCACGTCCTGTGGGCAAACCTCGCTGTATTCCCAATAGTAATCTGTATTCACGAAGAAGCAGGGATCGTCCTCGCCAATTTCTCCTCCTCCTCCTCCATCTCCTCCACCCCCTCCACCTCCTCCTCCACCTCCTCCTCCGTCATCAGCTCCTCCATTCTCGAACTCCTCGAGGGTCATGTACATCGGGTTGTTGACGTCATCAGGACAGTCCTCGTGGTAATAGTAGTAATATTCTCCCTCTTCGACGCACGGGTTGAGAGATCCACTTCCTCCACCTCCTCCACTATCTCCACCTCCTCCTCCACCTCCTCCGCCAGAGTCGAGGCTCATAATCGAGTCGAAGTTGACGTTTGAATTGTCTTGCTTCGGGTCGAATTCGATGCTGAATTTCGATCCTCCTAAAAGCATAAATAATTATATAAGTGAAAGGGAAAACGGGTGTTAATGTGTATTATCTGATTGTTTTTTTTTGTCTGTTTGTCTCAGTCTCTCTCTTTTTCTTTTTCTTTCTTTTTATCTTTCTTTATCTCTTTCTCTGTCTGTCTGTCTGTCTCTCTCTCTCTCTCTCTCTCTCTCTCTCTCTCTCTCTCTCTCTCTCTCTCTCTCTCCTCTCTCTCCTCTCTCTCTCACTCTCTCACTCTCTCTCTCTCTCTCTCCCTCTCCTTCTCCCTCTCTCTCTCTCCCTCTCCTCCCCCCTCTCTCTCTCTCTCCTTCCCGCTCTCTCTCTCTTCTTCTCCCTCTCCCTCTTTCTCCTTTTCCCTCGCCCACACTCTACCTATCCCTATCTCTCTCTCTCTCTCTCTTTTTCTACCTATCCCTATCTCTCTCTCTCTCTCCCTCTCCTTCTCCCTCTCTCTCTCTCTCTTTCTCCCTCTCTCTCTCTTCTCCCTCTCCCTCTCTCTCTCCTTCTCCCTCTCTCTCTCTTCTCCCTCTTCCTCTCTCTCTCTCTTCTTCTCCCTCTCCCTCTCTCTCTCTTCTTCTCCCTCTCCCTCGCCCTCTTTCTACCTATCACTATCTCTCTCTCTATCTCTCTTTCTCCTTCTCCCTCTTTCTTCCTATCCCTATCTCTCTTCATCTCTCTCTATCTCTCTCTCTCTCTTACTCTCTCTCTCTCTCTCTCTCTCTCTCCCCTTCTCCTTCTCTCTCTCTCTTCCTGTCCCTATCTCTCTCCATCTCTCTCTCTCTCTCTCTCTCTCTCTCCCTCTCCTCTCTTTCCTTCTCTCTTCCTATCCCTATCTCTCTCCATCTCTCTCTCTCTCTCCCTCTCTTTTTTTATTCATTTTCTTTTTTTATTTATTTAGCGAGGAAATGTTCTTTCTGTCTCAATAGATTATTGAAAGCAATGGAGGCAAATGTCTACTTTAAAGACGCGTTGATCGATTATCAGCAAAGGTCAGACAGTCAGTGTCTTATTGGCCATCATAATTTCATACGGCTGCATACACACGCAACGCGCACGCACTCAAGCATATGCACACACATGCACACACACATACACACACACACACACACACACACACACACACACACACACACTCAAACTCATACACGCACACGCACACACACACACAATAACAATAATAATAATAGTAACAACAATAGCACTAATACTAATCGAAGTAATAATGATGGCGGAATCACATAAAATATAGCAATAACAATAAACCACCAATAATACTAGCAGAAATGATAATGAATCAATAATTTTTCTTTCTTCTTTTTGTGTACACGCACACGCACACGCAACACACACACACAAACTCACCCACCCACCCAAACATACACACACACACACGCAAACTACCCCCCACACCCCCACAGCCCCAGAGACGAACCTCCACCCGAGCACTGGCTGTGTTGCACCGTGGCCAGGGAGTCCAGTTCTCCCCCGTTCGTTGCAAAGAGATCACGCAGCTTCTCCAGAGTCTGTTGGAGATGGAGATGGTGATGGTGATGGTGATGGAATGGTGAGTGTGTTAATACTAATACTAATAATAATAATAATGATAATAATAATAATAATAACAATAATAATAATAAAAATAGTAATAACAATAATAATAATAAAAATGATAATAATAACAACAATAATAATAAAAATGATAATAATAACAATAATGATAAAAAAACAATAATAACAATAATAGTAATAATACCAAAATAAAAATCCATAAACAACGAACGTAAAAGTAAATACGAAACAAAATTATAATAAAACAAGGGAAACATTTAACACTATACATAGGCCTACCCCAGATCCGATGCCCGTCGACCGACTCAGGATGATGCCCGCCTCCATGTGCCCAAACATGGACTTCTTGCACGCCCACAGCAACGCCCACGAGTCGTAGCTGACGTCCACAACCTGCATCGCCACGTCTCCGAAGGCATCTGTGGGCGGCGAGGGTGGGGGGGAGGGGGGAGTTGGAGGAGGAGGAAGAGGAGGGGGGAAAGGGTGAAGAGGGGGTGGGTGGGGTGGTGGTGAGGGGGGGGGGAGAAAGGGTGAAGAAAGGGGTGGCGGGGTGGGGGTGGGGAGGGGGGTAGTGGAGGAAGAGGGAAAGGGTGAAGAGAGGGATGAGGGGGTGAGGATGGGAAGGGGGGGGGGAAGAGGAGGGGAGGAAAAGGGTGAAGAGAGGGGGGGGGTGAGGATGGGGAGGGAGGTAAGGGGGGAGAGAAAGGGTGAAGAGAGGGGTGGGGGGTGAGGATGTGAGGGAAGGGGGTGAGGAAAGAGTGAAGGAGGGGGGGGAGGGGGGGGAGTGTTGGACGGGTAGAAAGGGAGGGTGAAGAAGGGAGGGGGGGGGGATGGGCAAGGGAGTAAGGGAGATGGAAGAGAGGGGGGGGGTGAGGGAAGGAGAGAGAGTGAGGGAGGAGAAGGGGTGTGGGGGTGGTGAGTGTGAGGGAGTGAGGGGGGGGGGGTATAGTAAGGAGAGATGAAAGGGAGAGGAAGTGAGGGAGTGAAATGGGGGGTATGGGTGAGGGGGGAAAAGGGAAGAATAATTGTATATAACAATAACAACAATAATAATAATAATGATAATAATAATAATAACAATAACATAATAACAATGATGATGATAATAATATTGATAATCATAATGATATTAATAATAGCAATAATGATAAGAAGAAATATAACAACAACAACAACACCAACAAAAACAACAACGATAATAATAATAATCAACAATAATGATATGATAAAGAAGAAAAAGAAGAAAAAAAAAGATGAAAAACAACTACAACCATAATAATAATAATAAAACTAATATTAGTAACAAATCAACAATAACGACATAAACACCAATAACAAACAATAATGATAATAATAATAACAGTATTAAAAGGAGAGTCAGTCGCTAGGAACTGTTGGCTTTCTAATGACTCGCGGCACCAAAGAAACGCGCAAATTTGGATACATTATAGACCTTCATCCAAGTAAACATAACACGTTCACGGATATCTGGATCCATTCGTGTGCAGACGTATCGCGCGGCAAACCAATTAACAAAATAAAAGAAAGAAAGACAAAGAATGAAAGAGAGAATGAAAGAACGGATGAAAGGATGGTTAGAAAAAGACTCATTTAACGATTAATGAATGATAATGGCTTTACTCTCTGGGAGGGAGGAAAAGTCAGAGAGGAGAGATAAGATTATCAACGAACAGAGCATTTTATCGGCGTTGATAAGGTGGTACGAGGACTTTTGTACCAGCGGTCTTTGAGTTGGCCCTTGCGTCCGATTCTTTGGAGGAAAAATACTTGGGGTGACTTGGGTGAAGCTCCTTCAGAGAAATGTTCTTTATACTGTTTGGTAAGTGATAATTACCAGTATACACACACACACACACACACATATATATATGCGTGCGTGTGTGTGTGTGTGTGTGTGTGTGTGTGTGTGTGTGTGTGTGTGTGTGTGTGTGTGTGTGTGTGTATGTGTCTGTGTGTGTATATTTTTCTTTCTTTCATTTTTATTTGTATCAATTATTAATATCATTATCATTTTTATAATCTGAGCGCATATCAACAATCTGACTCAAGATAGAAATTAAAATACAGAAAATAACGGAAAGATAATTACGTGGTCAATACGAAACAGGAAGGGAGGCAGACGGTTAAACAGAAACGGAAATGTAACCATAATTATTTTTCTTAATTTCCTGAAAAAAGCGACAGAGAAACAGCTAGGTACACCACAGAAGAAAATTATATAAACATAAACATCACCTTTGCTTTGCTTTGCTGAGCAACGATATAGACAGACAGATCAATATCACAAGAAACAGCAAAATAGGTGTAACTTTAATCATTACTGTTATATTTTAAAAATCTAATCTAATAAAAAAAATCAGGTGAAATCAACACAATATTGTAATTATCATCATCATCATCACCACATTTTCAAAGTCGCGACGCGCTGTAAGTAACCTTCTCTCGCTGGTGCCATTAAAGGGGGTCCGTGTCCCCCCTCCCCCTCCATTGCCCCTCTATCTCCCTCCACTCCCCCCCCACCAAGACCCCTCGTAACTATCTTAATTACTCTCCTCTTCCCCTTCCTCCTCCTCCTCTTCCTCTCCATCTCGCTCCCTCCTCCTCCCCTCTCCATCCCACCTCCTCCTCCTCCTCTCCATCTCCCTCCCTCCTCCTGCCCTTCCCATCCCCCTCCTCCTCCTCCTCCTCCTCCTCTCTCCATCTCGCTCCCTCCTCCTGCCCTTCCCATCCCCCTCCTCCTCCTCCTCTTCCCCCTCCTCCCAGTCCCCTACCCACCCCCCCTCCTCCTCCCCTTCCCCCCTCCCTCTACCCCCTTCCCATTCCCACATTTCCTTTGTCTTAATTACCTTCTTGGAAAACTGCTGTCGTCTTCATTACCAAGGGAAATAATAGTATAGTCCTCTTTCCAGATTTTATCTTATTACGTGTGTATCTGGGTGCTTGTCTCTGCTTATATTATGTTTGCCCGTCTATCTCCTTATTTGTCTGTGTGCTTGTTTGTTAGTTCGGTCGTTTGTCTGCCTACCTGTACCCCTTCCTCCCTCCCTCTCTCTCTTGCCCCCCTTCCCACTTCTCCCTCTTCTCTTCTGTCTTTCACTCTCTCTATCTCCCCCCCCCCTCTCTCTCACACAAACATACTCTCTCTCTCTCTCTCTCTCCCATCTGTTAAAGTGTCTAGTTACTTCTGTAAACTTCCAGCATATCATATTATCTTCCGTTATCTGGTTTTCACGTTATCTTTGATTCTCTCGCCGCTGTTTCTCGTTCCCGCTTTTCCTCCTTTCCTCCTGCATCATTCATATATATATATATATATATATATATATATATATATATATATATATATATATATGTATATATATATATATATATATATATATATATATATATATATATATATATATATATATATGTGTAATACTAATAATTACAAAAAATCAACCGATAAAATAATAACGAGAAAAAAAAAATCAAGAATACCCTGTGAATATTAGGGAAAGTTGCAAAGAAAAATAAATTAATAAAAAATGGTTGCGTTCTTCCACAAAGTTCAAAATAGTGTATATTTCGCAACTCTTATCGTGGCAGCAGAGTGTAGTTATCCGTGAAACTCACTTAAACAATATGGCAGAGAGAGAGAGAGAGAGAGAGTGAAAGGAGAGAGAGAGAGAGTGAAAGGAGAGAGAGAGAGAGTGAGGAGAGCGAGAGAGAGAGGAGAGTGAGAACGAGAGAGAGAGAGTGAGGAGAGCGACAGAGAGAGGAGAGTGAGAACGAGAGAGAGAGAGAGAGTGAGGAGAGCGAGAGAGAGAGGAGAGTGAGAACGAGAGAGAGAGAGAGAGAGAGAGAGAGAGAGAGAGAGAGAGAGTGAGGAGAGCGAGAGCGAGAGAGAGAGAGAGAGGGAGAGAGAAGAGAGAGAGAGAGTGAGGAGAGCGAGAGAGAGAGAGATTAAGAAAGAAGAAAAATAGCAAAGAAAGAGACGAGAGGGAAGACAACCATTATATCAGTACCTTCTCTTGCCCCGATGCAGACACGAGGGCAAAAGTAGGGAATGAATTCACATAAATTAAATTAATTATACATTTAACCATAAAACTCACCGAAAACAATATCAAGGAAATATAACTAACCTGAAGAAAGGACA